AGAGGGGGGTCGCAGGTACCTGCGTACTGCAACTATCACACAACGAGGGCAGTGTGCACGCCTTTTTTCGGCCCACACTGCGCACGATGACCTCAAACTATCCGAATGGTTTAAAAACCTGGCCACTATTGCAGGCGTGGGAAGACCTCTGCGCTCCGTAATGTCGGATGCTTTCCCAACATTCACTATGCTGGTTCTCCACAGTCTTGTTTATTTCGACCGCATTCCTCCTAGGTGCCTATAATGAGCACCTCAATTTCAGCATTAGATTTTTCTATTCGATGCTACCAATTACCGCGCAAAACTTTACTGAAAATTATAACTTGTTATAAAAGCACTGACAGACATATCCTCCTTGCAAGCCGCTACTTATCAAATGCTTTGTTTTTTTAGCCCATCATCCTCATCAACAAAGGACAGCCACCCACTTACCTGGCTTTCTGAAGCAGCGGAGAAATCAAGGTTTGTTACGTTGGTTTTTTTAAACCCACGTCTGAGTCTTATTGTCACTTAATTTTCCAGATAATTTTCGTTTTAACTCTATTGTTCTGAGTACTGCCTCAGTGCTGCTTGTGGTTTTTTTGGACGCTTGCAGAGTTTTAGTCTGTGCCAAAGACATCGGCCCCGTTTGTAACATTTTTCGACCCTAGTCTTATGTAATGCCAGAGAGATAAAGGTTTTGGTGTCTGTATTTTTTCGGCTCCCTTGATTCAGTGCTAGTTTATTGAGCAGTTAGTTCAGTATAGTTCAGTATATTTAGGGTAGTAGGCAATGCCTTTGAAGACCCTATTAAAAACAGTATACATAAAATATCCAATATAAAATATGTTACTATAAAATAGTGAGTAACATATATACATGTACAAATTTTCGCTGCAGGTAACGTCAATGTGCCCGTGAGAGCATTCAGTCGTTTCTTGTATTCATAATATATCCAACATAAAATATGTGACTATAAAATGGTGAGTAACATATACGTATGTACAAGTTTTATCTATAGGTCTGGCCAATGCGTAGTTGACTACTGCTTCCTCGTGCATATGAACGGTATATGTTAAGTAAATGTCCATCCAGTTTCCGTTTGAATGCACCTGTGGAGCTCGGCGTTACGACCTCCTCGGGCAGTCCGTTCCAGGCACCGATGACTCGCTGTGAGAACGAATGTCTGCGGACATCCAGACGGTTAAAGGTTCCCCGGAGTTTGAGAGAATTTCCACGGAGGTTAGTTGATGTGGCGAACGTGAAGAAGTCGTCAAACTGAAGGGCACCGTCCCGATTACTCACGATCTTGTATGTCTGTATGAGATCACCTAGGATTTGCCTGTACTCAAGAGGAAAAAGTTTAAGTGCTTCTAGTCTACATTCGTAAAATGAGAACTTTAGGCCCTTCACGATTTTCGTTGCAGCAAATAAAACAGCTATTCAACCTTGATGTGTTGAATGCCATATACATTTTGCTTAGTGCTATGACCGCGCTTGGTACTGATAAGTAACACGAACGGTTGGCCCCCCTCCTCGACTGTTGTCACCAAAGCCAACACAGGAGAGGAAGAAAAAGCAATCAACCACAGAGAGGGTTGTAATTACAAGCAATAAGTCCTGCTCAAAAATGGGTTGCGTATATTTATTGATCCGTTTGATGATAACGTGTTAGAGACGCAAACCAATCATATCTGACGAGAAATCAATAGCCATTGTCCTGGTCACACTCTTGTGGTAGCTCACGCAGGCGCCT